GCTGGCAAGTGGGTATTCTTAAACCATCATTTACAATTTTTCTACAAGTTGAGAACTAATAAGCATAAGACACTGACAAATTACTTGTAATCAGTAGCTCCTTATATAGAATTCATGAGCATAATGATATAATTTAATTTTACCATTGGAAAAAATCAGGAGTAATTGTGTGTGACATACTTGGTACTCTCGTGGGGCCGGACACTTAAATGGCCTAATTCCTAAAACTAGCAAGAATTGTTAATAAATAGGTTCTGCTACACATTCACGTTTAATAGTTCAGATGATTGGCAATAACTAGCGTGCAAAGTGTTCTTTAAAATCCAAAAGTATGCAGAATCCACCAGAAAGCTGAAAAACAAAAGTTAAATTTATAAAACACTATAGTGGTACCTTTTTTTTTTCTTTTGTGGTACTGGGATTTGAATTTAGGACCTCACAGTTGATTGTGGCTCTACCTGTTGACCCATACCCTAGCCCTACTGGTAACTTTAATAAATAAATTCTCCTTAAAGGAGTTTTGTTTGTTTGAGCTAGGACTGTGTAACCTAGGCAATCCCAGATGCTGGGATTACAGTATGTACCACTACACTGGGATGTTAAAAGTTTTTATTATAATTTTTTTTATAACTCATGATAACATAAAAATGATTCTGAAGTCACATAAGTGATTAGATACTAAACCTTGTGGAGGAGTGAATTAAGTACTTGAGAACTCAGATAAGCTGAGGAGCATAAAGAATGGCAGTAAGGAAAATGTTGGCTTTAGGTGGGGTGATCTTGAATTGATAGATAAGATTCCTGAAAACAGCAAAGGAGACTGCCCTGACCAAGGTGGGACAGCAAAGGCAGAAAAGACAGCCGGCCTGTCTGCTTGGACCGGGGCAGTTGAAGTGTGGAGAACACAGTATCTTGACCCTTGAATTCCATCCCAGTTTCCTCATCTGAAGAATGGCTGATAATGTTACACACTTGGAAGGATGACGTGTGATTAATGGCGTGATGGGAGTCAAGTGCCTGGAGTGAGCCTGGCATGTAGAAAGAGTTCAGTAGACAGAGGGTGGGATTGCTGTCAGGGAGGATGGGGTGGGGCAGGACAAGCAGGGTAGGTCTTCAAACTGATATGATGGAAATTGGAAGCCACAGAAGCTTTTGACCAGAGGTGGGAAGAATATAACTGTAAGGAAATACTAATGGTAGCTACCATTTGAGAGTTTCTGTATGTCCTATACTTTGTATCCACTACCTGCCACCCTTACTGTCCTGCAAGGGAGGAGGGATTTGTTCTCCGAGGCTCAGTGAGAGGAAAAAGAGCTTGCTCAAGGTCACCTTGCTGTCAAGATGGAAGGTGTTTGAAACTAAGTTTGCCTGGTTCCAAAGTCTGTATTGTTTCTCTTCCTCTCATGTGGCCTCTACCTGGGAAGCCATTTGCCAGGAACTGATCTGATGACCCCTGTGGGAAGAGGAGTGGGTGGCTCAGGTAGTGAGTACTTGCTGCTAAAAAGGGGTGTGAGTTCAGAGTACATGTTGCAGACAAAAGCAAGGGGAAATAGGAAAATCACACAGAACTTGGTGATCACCCGTAGAGGAGAGGAGCCAGGATATCAGGGGATGCAATGCTGTTTGAATTGAAGGTTTGTGCCAGTAGACCGGACTTTCCTCAGTCTGGGGTTGGGCTCTGGAAAGTTCAGGTATGATAGTGAAGTTCATGGATTTTTTTCAGAAAACAGTTTTTTTCTGGGCAAATACCTAGTAGTGACTTCATACTTCATAGTAATTCTTGCTTGGTGTAGGTGTGTTGTCTGGTGTGCCTTTGGGTGGGTGGGGGGCTTTGGGGAGGAAAGAATGACCTCAGGTATGAGAGTCTAAATGTTCCTTGGGCCCAGGTATACTTTGGTGTCTTCTAGGACAGTGCACACTAGTGTTGAAGGACAAACTTTAAAGTTTTCCCATCTATCTGGATTGTTAAATTAAAACAAAAGAACTAGAGGAGTGGAGATGTGGCTCAAGAGGTAGAGCCGCCTGCTTTATAAGCACAAAGCCCTAAATTCAAACCCTAGTTCCACCAAAAAAATGCCTAGAAATAGAAACTGGAAAAGGCACACAGAATATAACCTCTGTTTTTTTGGGGTCTTTTTTTTTGTTGTTTTTTTGTCATTTTTGATTTTTGGCCATACTGGGCAGGTGCTGTACTCCACTAACCATGCCCCCCCCTTTTTTTTTTTTGATGTGTTGGGTATTTTTGAGATAGGGTCTTGCTTTATTTTATTTTAATTTTGCCTGGGCTGGCCTTGAGCCATGATCTTCCTAATCTCTGCTTTCTGAGTAGTTAGGATTGTAGGTGGTAGCCACTGACACCCAGTCTGACCCAGTCTGAGATCTTTTATCATTAAATTTAATAGATATAAAATTATCTGCCAGTTGCCATAAAAGTTTCTAAATTCTTCTCTATTCTATGCTGCAGACAGTACATTTGACAGTCTGGCCCACTTTGAGAGCAATGATCTAGGAAGAAAGTTTGTCAAGCAAATTAGTAACCAGGGTGTTCTTGGAATATGTAGCTGATGGAAGAGTGAAAATAATCCTTCAATTGGCATTTAAAATACTTGCTATCTTTTTAGTAAAGTTCCATATTGGGGACAAGGATGTAAAATAAATATACCAAGAACTGAGCCTAATGTAGTTATTGTAAAGGGTCCGTAAGTTGAAGCTGATAGCAATACTTGGAAAAATATGGCTTTACTCTCTCTGGTGTGTAATTTTTTTGTTCATTTAATTTATATTAGAATTTTTTTCTCTGTTAATATGGCTAGCCTTTGAATTTCAGTGCATAATTTTAGGTACTTACTTTTAGGGGAAAATAAAGCAAACTTTTTTTTTTTTTTTGGGTAGTACTGGGGCTTGAACTCAAAGCCTATACCTTGAGCCACTCCACCAGCCCTATTTTTTGTGAAGGGTTTTTTCAAGGTAGGGTCTCACAGAACTATTTGCCCGGGCTGCTTTGAACTGTGATCCTCCTGATCTGTGCCTCCTGAGTAGCCAGGATTACAGGTATGAGCCACTGGCATCTGGCTCATAACTTTTTTAAAGTCTTAAGAGTTGCATATATTGACACATTTCAATTGTTTAATTGTTCATATTTCAAAATAGAGTTTTTTCTCTAACTGCCATCTGTGTTTTATTTTACCTTTTTGACTGTTTTTACTTTTGCTCGTATTCCTTGTTCTCAGATGACTTTCTCATGTTGTTCCCTCAGCCTGGAATCCTGCCTTTAAGGCCCAGCCCAGGAGCTGCTGTCCCCAAGCTCCTGTCCTTGGTGTCCCTCTGGGTGCTTCCAGCTACCTTGTTGCACTGTGGTTACTCCCCTCCCTGACTTTTTTGTCCTAGCTCCCAAGTCAGGATCACCTTCTGTTTTGTATTGTACTTTCAACTACACATTTCAAGGCTCTTTTGTGCATATATTCTCTTATTTCATCCTTCAGACAAGCCCATGAGGTTGGTAGAACAGAGCTTCTTATCTCTATTTTAAAGAGGTGAGCTTGGGAGGATGTCCACACGGGATTCCCAGGGCCACATGTACCACTAAGGTCCACATTTCCAAATGCTCAGATCTTGCATTTGCTCAAAGTTGCTTGTAGTTTTGAGGTTCTCTTTTCTGCTCTCAGTACTTGTATTTCTTATTTGAAAAGCAAATATTAGAACACTTGGTACAGTGTCACAGACCTCTTTGGAAGAGAGAATCTTTAGAACCTAAGGGAAAGGGAACTGTGAACCCAAGTGGCACACAGGACAGGGGTGATATTTTGAAGGACACTCAGCAGTTAGTTGTTTCTACCTATTACTTTCAAGCACAGGAAGGGGTGGACTTTCTTATCAGCACATTGAGATTCCATGAGAGACATTTCTCCTGAAGAAAAAACCTTTTTTAAAAAAAGGCAGCGGGAGCACATTGAAAAAATCACTTTAAAAAGTGTTTTCTTTTTTTTTTTTGAGACGGTGTCTCCCTATGTAGCCCATGCTGGCCTCAAAGAGCTTCCTACTTTGGCCTCCTGAGTACTGAAGTTACAGGCATGCACCACCATGCCTGGCGAAAGGTCACTTTTATTCTGAGTCAGAAACCATTCGCTTTTGACTTTGGGGTATATTAGGTGTGTTTTCTCCGCATCTGCTTGCTCATGGTCAACTGATCTGGGGTCCAAATCCAGCCCTGCTACTTGCTAGGTAGGTACTTTGACTAAGCTGTTTACCTTCCCTAAGCTTAGTTTCTCATCTGTAAGCTGGAGAAAATGTCTCTGTTGAAGGACTGTTGTAAGAAATAAGGTGATGAGTGTAAAGTGCTCTATAAGTGAAAATTAATATGGAAGAGAAAGGGTGACCCACAAGAGTCACCTGCATGTAATTGACTCCAGAAATCATTCTCGGACCTGAGTGGGAATCACAATCACCTGGAAAGCTTTTTTAAGCTACAGTTTGTTGGGTCTACCCTCATAATTTCTGATTCATTGAATCTGGGGTGGGGCTTGAGAAATTACATTTCTGAGTTTCCAAGTAATGACGCTGCTGCTGGTCTAGGGGTCATACTTTGAGAACTGCTAGGCCACGGGTAACTCACCAATGGGCATTTACTTGAAAGTTGAGCTTTTATGTACTGGTCAGACTTAATCTGTTAAAGAAAAAATTCTTAGAATGCATTTTGGAAATACAGAATTTAGTATCGCAAAGATTTTTCCTTCTGAAGTTCAGGAGTCCTTGTTACTTATATTTGAAGGAGACTAAGTTGTGGAAATTAGTTATAAATAAATATATTATGAATAGTCTAATGATATCTAATTAGCTAAGGTATGTGAAACTGCTTTTATAAAATGTTAGATGAAGTTTAAACAATATTAAATAACTTTGTTTTTAAAATTGAACATCATAGCAGAATATAAAATAGTGTAACTTAGATTTCTCATCTCAACTTGCTGTTTACTGTATGTATTTTTCTCTTTCTCCTCCAGGCTGCTGACTTGAGTAAACCAATAGATAAAAGGATATACAAAGGAACACAGCCTACTTGTCATGACTTCAACCACCTAACAGCCACAGCAGAAAGTGTCTCTCTCCTAGTGGGCTTTTCCGCAGGCCAAGTCCAGCTTATAGACCCAATCAAAAAAGAAACTAGCAAACTATTTAATGAGGAAGTAAGTAGCACCCTACCTTAGCAGTTAAGAATCTCTTTAAGAGTTTGTATGGTCTTACCAAGGATAATGGGCCTTATTTTTACACTTTGAGCTAAGCCCATTTTTCATTTGCTCAGTGGTCTTATCTAGCATTACTCAAGTTTAAATATGGTGGATTAATTTGTTGATCTTTACCTGTTGTTCTTGGGGTAACTTTTTTGTGCATTTGTATAGACATGCTCAGATATCTATAGAGGTTCTTTAAAGGTCTTCTATAATGGAGATAAGCATGACTCTGTCACTTCATATGCATAATTTAAAGGAGAAACTGTAGAATTCCAGACTGTGTTCACACTCCTGGAAAATTTCATACAGATCAAATAACTTGATGATATTTTCTTAGGCTGTTCAAATTGCAGCTAAAGCTTTTGTATACATGTTTGCAAGGCACTTGTCTAAGGGGTGGCTCTCTTGCTCTTAAAGATGTTTGCTGTAATATCACCTTTGACATAGTTAGGAGTCCTGGTACTTAAAATTGGATCACAGGACACAGCTTTTTGCCAGTGTTGTAGTATGCACTGGGGTTTCTTGTGTATCTTCAGTTACATCCTGGAAGGAGCCTGAGCTGTCTGAACTGCCTGATCAGGAACATGTCAGTACTGTTAAATATAGCAAACACAAGTTACCACATGTATTGTATTTGTTACAACCAGGGAGTGGCTTTTGAGCTCAAAGTGTTTCCACTAAGTATTTGGTGTTTTTTCTGTTTCAGCATGATTTTCCTAGTAAATGGCAAAGATGAAGTAGACTTGCTCACTTAGAAGCTCTGGGTTTCAATCTCTGTTTGTTAATTAACTCTGTTGTGCAAGCCTCAGGTTACATGGGAACCCCTTTTCAGAAAGGATATGTAGTATTACATTGTTGCATGGTATTTAAGGTCATTAACTTGAAACAAATGTGATACAGATTCTGGTTTTTAAGAAATAATTTTGTTTAGGGAAGAATATTCCCCCAGACGTGACAAATTACAGTTAAAATTCTGATTCTTTTGCAGTCATTATGATGGTGCATGCTATTCACATACATCCCATACCCATCTAAGGGTACTCCTGTTTGACATTGTCAAGGAGATGTAGTAAAATCTTTTGAACCATGCCATCTCCTCTTCTAGTTCATCTGAGTGTACTAGAAACAAACTTGCTGTCTGGATTGGCAGACTGTAGAGGAAGAGCATTTCATCTCACCCTGGAGGCACAAAGCCACCCTGCTGCACTGTTAATGGAAATTGTGGATTTGGACTCACTGTGGGTTTTTGTCTGTGTTTGGGAAGAGGAGAGTGTGATGCATGGGGAAGGGACTGAACCACGTGCAGGGCTGTTGGTAAACAAAATCTGGAGGCAGTTCTGGATGAGGATGGCACAGAATGCCACTTAGAAAACAAGAAGGATTTGTGTGTCATGCTGGGGGAGGGTGGCAATCACAGTCTACATGGGCCTGAGAGCACTCAGGCCACATCAGCCAGACACATCCCTGCCCTGGTGATGGAGCTGCAGAGTAGAAAGCAGCCCCTCACTCTTCATGGCATAGCATTGAGTTCTCAGAAACTCTTTTTGTTGTTGTGTTTGAAAAAATGGCTTTTCAGTGAGTGCTTGCTTTGCAAGTGCAAAGCCCTGAGTTCAAACCACATTCCCACCAAAAAAAAAAAGAAAAAAGAAAAGAAAGAAAGAAAAATGACTTCGTATTTTAATGCCATGAAGAAGTGACTGTGTGTGGTTTAATGCCAGATTGGCATTTCAAGCTTTATATTGAAACTTGAGGGTCCTTCACAATAAGGAAATTCTTTGGCAGTGTGTATACATTTTCGTCAAAGTTTGGTAAGGACATCTAAGAACAAGGGTCGCGAAGTATGTTTCTCAGAGTGCCAGGAATGTCCTGGAAAGCAATTTTAATGCTGTGCTTTGCACTGCTGTGAGATGTAAAGGTTTCCAAGCACTTGGACAGAGGAGGGTGGGCAATTGTTCCCATTTTACAGATGACGAAATAGGCAAAGAGAAGGTAAGTAGCAAAGTATCATGGTAGAGGTATTGTGATAGAGTTGGAAGCAGAAATTAGTTCCAAAAACTCTTTCTGGCTATAAGCTGTAATCCCTACCAGGCATGGTTGGCAGAATGACCCTTGCCTTGGCCAGGAACTCACAATTCAATAAGGATGGACCGCTCGCATGCCGGAGCGTGTGTCATCACAGAGACATGAGCCATGTCTCAGTGGGATATGTGTTATGTGCATTCTTTAATATTCACCAAATACAAAATTTTCTTAAAATTCAAGTTCGGCTGTGCACAGTGGTAGACTCCTATCATTGTAGCTACTCAGGAAACTAAGGCAGGAGGATCGTGAGTTTGAGGCCAGTGTGAGCCCATGTGGAGACCTTGTTGAGAGAGAAGTTCAAGAAATACTTTCAGGAGATGACATTTGAGCTGAGTCTTGAAGGGTACTTATAAAAGTAGGAGGAAGGTAAAGAAGGCCTTCAAAGCTGGAAAAAAAAAGCTGGATATGGTGGCACATGCCTGTAATCCCAGCTCTCGGGCAGCTGAAGCAGGAGGATTTTGAGTTCAAGGCCACCTAGGCTGCACAGTGAGATCCTGTCTCAAAAACAAAACAAAAAATAAATAAGACAAAATAATAATAAAATTGAAGAAAACAACTTGGCATTTGATGGAACATCACATAACAACATGGCTAAGTCACAGGGTGTGGGTCTAGAGTGATCATTTGGAACCAATCTGTAAAGCCCTTCCTTTTATGTCATGCTGAGAAATTTGGATCTGACACTGGAAGCTGTGGGGGAACCTTTGGGCTTTTATTCAAGGGAGTGACAGGATGAAATGTATTTTTTTAGAACTCTTGTCAGCACTTGTGGAAGGTGGATTGGAGTGAAGGAGGAGAGAATGAAGGTAGCAAGACCAGTGAGAAGGCTCTAGTAACTGTCCAGGTGAGAGCTGAAGGCTTGAACTAGAATTTTGGCTATTCTTTCATTTATTCAACAGACCTGACCACCTACCATGTGCCCAGCACTGGGTCTGCAGTGGCAGATAAAACCTGCCCTCCTGTTACTCTTCTTAGGGGAAGAGAGGTATAAATAACAGCACCACCCACACATACCGATGACCAGAAATGGTGATACATTATGCTGTAGGAGAAGAGAGCAGACTACTTTAAACTGGCAGGCAGAGAAGATCTGTCAGAGGAAGTGGTGTGCTTTAAGTGGAGCCTCCCAGGAGAAAGAGGCCACCCAGGTAAGGTGACAGGCCATGCCTGCAGAAGGGAGAGCAGGTGAGGGGTCTGGGGCAGAAAACAATGCAGGAGCCAGGGCACTGAGAAAAGAGCTTACCTGGGCAGTGAGGGGATGAGGTTGGAGGGCCTGGTCCAGGTTGCTTCTCAGCCTGAATTATGAGATTGCATTGAAAGGAGCAGGAGTGCACATAGACAGTCAAATTGGTATTTTTGAAACTTATCCTGTTTGCTTCTTGGAAACTGAGTTGAGAGAGATATTACTGAATTAGGTTTCTGAATTTTGCTTACTGAGTGAGACTGGAAAAGGGGCAGGAGTCAGGAATGGAGGGAAGGACAGAGGATCCATTCTGTACTTGATATGTTTGAGAAGCCTAGATAGTTAGAGGTGTGAATCTGATGCTCAAAAGTGAGGTAAAAATTTAGGTTGTCCGAATGTAAATAGTAATCACAACGCTGAGAGTAGATGAAGGGGTCTCGGAGAGAGTACATTAAGAACAAAGAAGAATGCCTGCGATTCAGCCTTGATTATACTTCAAGAGTCTGGCCATACCATCCCATTGCCTTAAAGGAGCACTAAAAGAACCAGTTAAAAGAACCATGAAATTGATGGAATGGAAGCCCAGTGGGCCCTTGAGTCTGAATGGTCTGGGGTCCAGCTGCTTTCTGCTCGCAGGATGTGGACCTTTATTTCACCTCCCTCTTCGTTGGCAAATGGGTAAGAACAGTACCCACGTGGAAGTCCACGGTGAGAGCAAGATGAGCATATTCAGGCAGCGTTATGTGAAGGAAGAGTCCCCCAGTAGATGCTTAACAGAGGGTTCAGAGTGTGTGTGCGGGGGGCAGATGGGTCTTCGAGGCTCCTTACCTGGGGCAGGTAGTGCCCTTACCTAGGGAGGTGAGATACCAACAATTTTTAAGGATAAATCATTTTCCAGGACCAAAAGGTAAAAGCAAGACAACTGAGGCAGAGAATCCACATGTGTGAGGCAGAGATAGGGTTGTCTGTCAAAGCCATGTGGTATCTTTCTGTGTTCCTCACCAGAATGCTTCCCTTAGCCACGTGCCACATGCACATGTCCGCATCCCCAGCATTATTACTCTGGCCTCTGCCTCCTTTCTGTTGCCTGAACTTGTAATTTCTGGATGGATGGATGGAACGGAATTACAAGTTCCTGAAATTCACTGGAGATAAAGATAAATCTGTCTGGAAACAAGTATATTTTCAAAAGTGACCCCTCCCTCATCAATTAAAACAGTATTAAAAATTTAAATACTTGTTTACAGAAAAAATGGGAAAATAAGAACAAAGAAGATAGGAAAATGTCACCTATAAATCTTAGTGTTCGGTGTTAACCTTCATAGTCTTTGTATTTTTCTTTTTTTAATGAGGCAAGGCTTAAAGATTCACAATTCTCATTAGAGATGCTGGCCAAGTGTACCTCCCACAGGCCTGACTCCTGATCAGGTCAGTGAGCACAAGGGACTCACTGGACTGTCCTATTCTTCCTGCTGGGCCTGTCCCCAGCCACACTGGAGATCCTTGTTGCTCTGCTTACTCCTGACTGGAAGGAAGCCTCTAGCTCAAGTCCTTTCTAGCCTCTAGCCTCTCCTGGGAAAGAAAGTCCTCTGTTCCCTTGAGTCTCTGCTTTCTCTAGTCTCTGAAAGTGGATTTGAGGTTTCTGTTTGTAGCATTCTGTACATATTATGCCTTGAACATGTCTAATGGGTCTTGAGGGTATTTTGGTATAGATCATCCAACAAGTGCCCAGACCTGGAGCCTGCCTTTATAATAAATGCCACCTAGAAAGGACAGTCACCATGGTCAGCATCAGCATTTGGCCTTTCATGAGGCACCCCAGCAGTTTACTTTTTCTAATCACTAATTATGTATTTGGGGAGGAACAGTTACAAAGGGATACTTCCTATATGATAATGAATGTAACTTGTTTTTGTAAAAAAATATATATATATCTGATTTGGGGATTGTGTCCACAGAATTGTAACTGCAGAGGGATTTCAAATTATGTTTTGATTGTGGTAAACTATAAAATCTAAAAAGAACTTATCATCTTGGCTCCTTTTACTACTGACACGGAAGGAGAACCTCTTTTTCTGAACTTCCTCTCAGTGCTTTGAGGTCAAGGCATTGAGATCAAATGCTAATGAAGGGCATATTGGGGAGGAGATGGTCCTGACTCCTTGGCTGCAGAGGGGTGGTCTCCCACCAGCTCACACTCCCCCTGCACCAGGGCCCCAGAAGTTGGGGGGGAGAGCAGGACCCTCCTTTGCAGTATTCTGTTTAGTTCTGATAACAAGAGTGGATTGTGCATTTTGTTGGTTCTGGTTTTCTTGCTTTTTTTTTTTTAATTGAAAGAAGGAAATGAGCATATAATAATCTAGTCCTCCAAGTTTTAGCATTGGTAAAAATGACATCTGATCCTTTCTTACATGGCTTTGAAATACCCTTTCCTAATACTTCCTGAGGGAAGTGTCAGCCCTCTCTAAATGCCTTTACATAAAGCCTCCAATTGCCACAAACATTTTTGTTTGTGGTTACATTAATGTTTTTTTTCTAGCAACTGCTGTGGGTTTTGAATTGCTTTAGTATTTTTATTGTGAATTAATATCAGCATTGTAAAATGCAAACAGACCCCCCCCTCCCAAATAATTATTTTCTGCTTGTCATGTTGATAGAAGTGAGAGAAAGAAAAAAGAAGATGGAGTACTTCAGAAAGCTTCAATTCAAATTAGTCAGTTTGCTGATGGCATTTGGATATGGCTGCAGATGTACTATTGCTCCCGTTTAACTAGCATGGCATATTTAGAGTGTAAGGAAATATAGGCCCCAAAGTGACCACGTGGAGAGGAGTGATCTGGCCAAGAGATTCTTTATTGCCGGGTGGGAGAGGGAGAGAGCAGAGAGAGCCAAGAGAGAGAAGCAGGAGGGGCAAGGGCTTAAATATCCCTCAGTGGGACTCAGCATGATCTGATTGGTTAGGATCTTATGGTTCATGCTGATTGGAGGTTGGGGCAGAAGGAGGATTCAAGCTAGACTTGAGGCAGGACCGTGACCCTGGGAAACAGAAGCTTAAGGGTGCAGTAAGAACTGAAACCTATCGGCGCCATTATTGCCAACATAGAGACTCTTATCTGCTAATGCAATTGGGTATGTAGTATTTTTGTTGTTTAGTATGATTTTTGTTTGGATTAGTAGCTGAGATGCATCTGTTTGTTTGGCATCTAGCAGGGAGCCCCAGTTGTTTGATGGATATAGGTGCTGGAGCCCAAGGCTTTCCTCCTAAGTCGTGGCCCCGGAGTAGGTGTCTGATATACACAGACATATCACAATGATACTCTATGGTGGTTTTAAGGTGTGTTGTTGGGGTTTGTTTGTTTGTTTGTTTGTTTTTACAAAAGTAGTTATTGAGATGGGCTTTGGGGCATTTTGGAAATTGACTCTCTTTAATGAAGAGCCTTGGTGACTGTACCAGGCAAAATCTTTGCCTTACTGCACCCTCCCTTCCTTCTCTCTTCACTGAGTACTTGCGCTGTCCCATCCACACAGCTGCACTTTGCCAAGTCTGCCAGGACACAGGCCCTGCCCTGAGGGAACTGGAGTGGGGTTCCTGTACTCCTCAGCTTCCTACAAGTGTTCTTTGCCTCTGCCTACCTCCTTCCCCCATCTCTCCTCTCCAGCAGCATCTCTACAAGCAGGGAGTTTTTTCCACCCTGTCCTCTTCCTGCTGTACCTCCCTTTATCAGGCACCTGTCGTCTGCTGCCCCACCTGTTCCTGGCCCTCAGCCCCCAAACATGCTTTCCTGGGCTGAACAACAAAACCAGCTTCTGAGAACCTGCCTCCTGAGGAAGAAGGAACATTGGTTCCATGGCAGCTGTCTCCTCTTCTGCTTGCTCTTCCTCGTGGCAGTGACACTGTTTTCCTGACTTTAGTACTGCTCCCTCTGGGTAGTTTTCTCAGAGGTCTGTATGTTCCTCCTCCCTGCTATACTTCTTCCTCAGAGATCTTAAAATGGTGCAGATTTGGGAGTTGCTACTCCCCACCAACTTATCTGGCTTTCTTGGTTGTTTTCATTAGCTGCAGACTGACCTTTCTTTAACTCTGCTGGGCTGAACTTAAGAGTCTTTAAACATGTCTACCTCTTTCATTACCCCCTACCACCCACTGTTAAATTGCCCTAGTCAGGTTGAAGACCTCTTTGTTCATTGACCTCCTAACCAGTTCTCTCTATCCCTACTGCTAGGGGATTTCTCCTTGTTCTGTCACTTCCCTTTTCAAGAACCTTTGATGCCCTACTGTCCACAGTGACATTGCCCATGGAGGTAAGCCGCAGGTGCATGCCGACATTTCTAATAACCATATTGAAAAAGTAAAAACCAGGTGAGATTAATTTTAAGAATAATTTTATTTTATCCAATATAGCCAAAATACTATTTCAGCATTTACATTCACAGGCCAGTGCCTTGAAAGGGACAGGGCCCCTGGGCCACAGCCTGAGCTCTTAGCCCATGACTTCATAACCCTATGCCCTGCCATGATTCCAAACCAGTGTCTTGCCCTGCTCAGGTTCTCCAGCCAACAGAGATGCTGTGCACTTTCCAGATCCCACAAATGCTGTCTGAGCCTTGGCCTGGCTCCTTTTACTGCAGGATGCCCTGTCCCATGATCCTTGTCCCTTTGTGCTCCTGCCTCTGCCTCTCACCCCCTCCCTTGCTACCTCTGTCTGAGAGTTTCTTGAGGGATGGGATTCACTGTGGGATCTTCTCAGAATGTTATCAAGATGAAGGCCCCACTCACAATGAGATCCCTAGCGCAGCAGGGAGATCCCATTACTTACATTGACCCCTAAGAGGTTTTTTGTTTTGTTTCCAAGTTGGGCGTGGTAGTGTGGGGCTGGAATCCCAGCACTTGGGAGGCTGAAGCAGGAGGATCACCAGTTGGGGACTAGTCTGGGCTACATAATGAAACCCTATCTCAAAAAAAATCAAAACAACAATAATAGCAAAAAGAGTCTATTTCTCACCAGACATTTCCTGGAACAAAAACATAAAATGTTCCAGGTAGTTTTAAGATAGGACTAAGATGCTTTCTGTTCTGTTGTTATTGTTGTTGTTGTTCTTCTTCTTCATTCTTCTTCCTCGTCTTCTTCCTTCTTCCTCGTCTTCTTCCTTCTTCCTCATCTTCTTTCTTCTTCCTCTTCTTTCTTCTTCCTCTTCCTCTTTCTTCTTCCTCTTCCTCTTCCTTCCTTCTCCCTCCTTCTTTCTTCTTTCTTCTCTTCTCTTTTTAAATCCAACCAACTAATAACCCAGGACTTTCTCAGCTGTCTTCTTACAGTTTGAATCCCTATGACCTTCTCCCCCCAGCACTTTGTCTTTTCTCCTTAGGTGTTTTTTTTTTCCTTATAACATTTATACCATTAGATACTACAAATTTCACTTATCTTCTAGTCTTGCTTTAATGAGAAGGGATGTGGCATATGCTAGGTACTCAGTGCTGAGTGAGTTTATAAATGAATAGGATTTCAGACGAGTTTCTTGACCTCTCCGAGCCTCTTTCCTCATGGGTAATACAGCAATAATCCCTACCTTCCTGTGGGGAAACGGGCTTTATACCATAGAAAAGTATAAATGTATGTATCATTTGGCCTAGCTGTTCCACTGGGAACTCATTCTGCAAGTGCACTACTCATACATGTGAAAACTGCCCTGGCCAAGGGCACTCAGCGTATGTAAATGCTAGTCAGGGGGACTTGCGCCATAGGTTACAGCATGTCCACATAGTCGAATGCTCCTCAGCTTAGAGAGAAACGAGGAAGCTGTCTTTGTACCACACAGACAGATGTATAAGAGTGAATGAGAAAACAGCTGTGCATAGTGTGACAAAGGAAGGGTGGATAGATTTGTACTCAATATTTGGCTTGTACATGCAGGAAGTCAGTGTGGATAAATACACAAAATGCTCAGACACTAGGAGCAGTGACGGAGGACGAAGGATCTGGAATGCAGAAGAGGTTGCGGCTTTCTGCTACATTCTTGTATTCTCATATGTGAACATGACTGTATTACCTGCTCGTCAAGCCCAGGCTGACCTTGCAGGACGATTTTGAGTATTAGAGAATATGGGTGTAGAGCCTCTTGCCAGTGCCTAGCACCCGGAGCTAATCCCCGGGTTGGAAGTTAGGACCAGTACTATGGTCAGTATGTACGCCTGCCTGCCGTGCTCCTGCAGTTAATATGCAGGGCACTCCCCCACCCCCATGTGAATCATAAGTCCTCCCTACCCTTGAGCACATGATCTGGGAAGGAAAACCACAAACTAGACAAGTGAGAAACCCTTACTTACCATGTTAGAGCTGGATTCAAGTTCCTTTTTTTTTTTTTTGATCTGCCATTGCTCACACTGGTGTGCCCAATCCCCAGGGCTAGAGTATGACAGTGACGTCTGATTAGATAGATGCCCCAGCCAGCAGTTGCAGCAGGGTTTTGTAAGTTATATCCATATGTCTGTTTAGGGTTGTCTTAGTGCACATTTTTAATGTGAGAATAAAGTTTTTTTTTAGTATGTTTTGTCATCACATTAACACTTATTTTAATAATGGTGCTGTATTTATCTTCATGCCTTACAATTACAAAGCAGTACTATTTTTACTTAACAGTTATTATAGGTTTTGCGTTCTAGTGGTATTTTTGTGTGTGTGTGTAGTACTGGGTTTTGAACTCAGGGCCGACACCTTGAGCCACTCCACCAGCCCTTTTTCAAGACAGAGTCTCAAGAACTGTTTGCCCAGGCTGGCTTCAAACTGCAATCCTCCTGATCTTTACCTTCTGAGTAGCTACGATTACAGGCGCCTGGCTCTAGAGGGATTTTGTTGTTGTTGTTGTGCTCTTTTTTAAGGCCCCAAATAAAATTTAATTGTACTGTAAAGTTTTCATGTCCTTAAAAATTTCTACACATGAAAGAGTCACAATGAAGTGATCTTAGAAAAACTGGGATTTGATTGGGTTCTGATGTCAGGTAAGGTGCAGAAATTGAGTCATTGTGCTGGGATCAGTTGGGCAAGCCCACCTAACAAAGCCTCTGTTGAGGGCAAGCTGGAGACACCTGGAGGTCCTGGTCCGTCCATGCACAGCAAGCCTGGCAGAGCTCTCATATGGGGTTGGAGCCTCTTAACCCACTCTCAGCATAATTCCTGCAGCCACCCACCCCACCAAGTCCTGATTTGGTCGTGCAAATTATCTAACCCCTTGCCAAAGAAATTGTGAAGGTTTAATGGAAATTTTGCCAGAGTAGTGCTAAGTTTTTAGGTTGTTGGTGTTAACATAATTTAGGTACCTATTATAGGTAGATCACTAGGTAGGTAAAAGAGGCAAAGGATGAAAACATTGGCTATATCCTCAAGGGCAGCTCCTCTTGGTTCAAGAGGACCAGTCATGCCATTCAGTGGCAACAACAGTGACACCTGCTACACTGTATCTAAGCCATGAAGCCTGAGCCCCTATCCTATATGGTGCACAGGGCTCAGGCCCCTGTCCTTCCCTGCTTGGGTCATCCAGTGCTTTGGTCACTATCCAAAGACTAATTTTTATGCAAGAAGCGTGTGTGGCCCATTAATTTCCTCTCTGTCCTTTAAAAAATATTATTATTATTATTATTTTTTTTTATTTTCTCAGTGCTGGGGATTGAACCCAAGGCCTTGTGTGTGTTAGGCAAGTGCTCTGCCACTGAGCCACTCCCCCAGCCTCTCCTTTATTTTAAAAATCAAGTTACTTCATTTCTGTGATTTTCTGCAAAGAAGCAACACACACAGCAGACACATGGCCACAAAGCCAACTAGGCAGATGGCTGTATGTTTCTTGGTGGGGTCACATCAGTGTGCCATGATGACTCCCTGACACTCAGCTTGGGGAATCTCAGCCATTTAGATAAAGTGGTAGTAGTTAAGCCCTTCGGGCTGCTCCAATACAGGGCAAGGTTTAGTGGAGAACACTTGGCATAGGAGTTCCTAGTCAGGACTTGTGGGTGATTTCTGGTGACTTGGTGTTAAGACCAGGCAGCCTGGAAGAGGGATCACCCCTGCCTATAGAGGCTGCTGTGTCTAGGTGAGCCCCACAGCAGAGGTTCTTCACGGTGAAGGGGACATGCTATATAGCTGGGTGGTTTTCACTTTTTTTGCCTTTTGTTCCTTTGGTCTAAAACACAAGACTACACTGATGCATGGCAGTTAAAAAGCAACTAGGTCAGTGGACCAGAAATGAGCATGGAATAGAGTGTAGTGATAGAGCACAAACTCCTGAGTTAACCATCTAGTTATTTCTTTACACATCACCTCGTTCCAGGGAGAATTTTGAGGAGATGCGAGTAAAGATACTCAGAGGCCAGCGTGTGCAAGTGAGGAGGCTGCAGTGAATCCAGGGCCGCGTCAGGCCCAGGAAGTGTGCTTTGAAGTCCTGTGTGCTGCTGGCCGCAGGCTGCAGATATGACTCCCCGCCTTCAAGCAGCCACTGCAGAGGGGCACACATAGACAGCCCATGACCTGCAGTGAAAATAAATACAAAGAAAGCTGAGAGGCATAGCTTTCCCGGCTATGAGGACTGAGAGATTTTTCCTGTGAGTCCTTATAGAGAGGAAGCCGCAGTAGCTGCAGTGAATCGCAGATTCAGACGCTCCTACCATAAGAAAGTGTCCAAGGGTTGCTTCTCACCAGCGTGCCCAGCACCTGGCACGATGTCTGGCACAGAGTAGGCTCTCAGCAGATATTTGTTGAATGACTGACTCCCTCAGTAAGAGCCAGTGGCCCGACATCCAAGTGCAATTCTAGAAAGTAGTTCTACGAGGGGCCAAATGCTCTTCACTGGCTTGGCTGACCACAGGATAAATGTGGAGTGCCTGGATGGACTCTTCCCTTCTCACCGAGAAGCAAACAAGTTTTCTTGCTGGAAAAGTAGACCTTTAAAACTTCTCCATTGTGATAACTTGTTCTCCTTTGTCTTCACAGAGACTAATAGACAAGTCACGCGTAACCTGTGTCAAATGGGTTCCTGGTTCGGAAAGCCTTTTCCTAGTAGCCCATTCAAGTGGGAACATGTACTTATATAATGTGGAGCACACTTGTGGCACCACAGCCCCCCACTACCAGCTTCTGAAGCAGGGAGAGAGCTTTGCCGTGCACACTTGCAAGAGCAAATCCACGAGGAACCCTCTCCTTAAGTGGACGGTGGGCGAGGGGGCCCTCAACGAGTTTGCTTTCTCCCCAGATGGCAAGTTCTTAGCATGCGTGAGCCAGGACGGGTTTCTGCGGGTGTTCAACTTTGACTCAGTGGAGCTGCACGGTACGATGAAAAGCTACTTTGGGGGCTTGCTCTGTGTGTGCTGGAGTCCAGATGGCAAGTACATTGTGACAGGTGGAGAGGACGACTTGGTGACAGTCTGGTCCTTTGTAGACTGCCGAGTAATAGCTAGAGGCCACGGGCACAAATCCTGGGTCAGTGTTGTGGCATTTGATCCCTATACCACTAGTGTAGAAGAAAGTGACCCTATGGAGTTTAGTGGCAGTGATGAGGACTTCCAGGACCTTCTTCATTTTGGCAGAGATCGAGCAAACAGTACACAATCCAGGCTGTCCAAACGGAACTCTACAGACAGCCGCCCTGTAAGTGTTACATACCGGTTTGGTTCAGTGGGCCAGGATACACAGCTGTGTTTATGGGACCTTACGGAAGACATCCTTTTCCCTCACCAACCCCTCTCAAGAGCAAGGACACATACAAATGTCATGAATGCCACAAGTCCTCCCGCTGGAAGCAATGGGAACAGTGTCACAACGCCCGGGAACTCAGTACCCCCTCCGTTGCCACGGTCCAACAGCCTTCCCCACTCAGCAGTCGCCAACGCCGGCAGCAAAAGCAGCGTCATGGATGGGGCCATTGCCTCTGGGGTCAGCAAGTTTGCAACTCTTTCACTGCATGACCGGAAGGAGAGACACCACGAGAAAGACCATAAGCGGAATCATAGCATGGGACACATTTCTAGCAAGAGCAGTGACAAACTGAATCTAGTCACTAAAACCAAAACGGACCCAGCTAAAACTTTGGGGACGCCCTTGTGTCCTCGAATGGAAGATGTTCCCTTGTTAGAGCCGCTGATCTGTAAAAAGATAGCACATGAAAGACTGACTGTATTAATTTTTCTTGAAGACTGTATAGTCACTGCTTGTCAGGAGGGATTTATTTGCACATGGGGAAGGCCTGGTAAAGTGGTAAGTTTTAATCCTTAATGCTGCACCAGATCTAGAACTTGACTTAGGTAGTGATTTTCTTTTTCTTGTGGGAGGGGGGGTGTACAATGAATGTGAATGATACTTCTTATTCTTAATGTAAAACTAAATGCATCAGAGCCATAATTTTGGATACTGCATGCCATGTAATTCTGAATCATTTGATAATTCACCTTAGAGCGTTTAAAAAATATATAATCAAACTAATTGCCAGCCAAGTCAGTCATACTTTTGGGAGTATATAGAGCCCCAAGGTTAGCATTCCTGTATCAGACCATTTCAGTTTTAGCAAAATCATGACAGTATGGGGAAACAATGACTTTAAAATGCTAAAATTAAAATTTATGCTTTAACTGGAATATTTTTGCCTAACTACTCAACTAGAATATTGTACACCTGATCAGAGTGTGTTCAGTACAGATGGCCATTAATTGTCATTTATAGTCCAATTTTTTATCTTAAATCATAAAATGTTTAGAAATTTATGAAACTTAACTTTAGGAACAAAGCGTTCAGCAGGGTTGATTGATATTATTTTTACATTGTTCTGGCAATCCACAGAAAGAGAAGAGCCTTAATTTTTAAAACCCATTTTAGTCATTTTTATGACAATTAAAATTGTTTAATAAACATCTTTTTTCAAAGAAGCAGTTTGTAGAACTTTGATTGAGACTCTGTGCACTAAAATCTCCACACGACCCAGAGCCTGGACAGGTGACATGCACTGTGGCCGAGGATGCCTGCAGCAAGTGTCAGAGTACCTCTTGTCACATAAACCAAGACTTTGGTGTGAAATGCACTTGGTCTATGTTTTTTCCCAACAAGGGAAAAGAGGTTCTGTCTGTTTGGGGTTTTTTCCTTTGTTTTTGGGTGAGAAAAGTGTGACTACAGGTTGCGGGCAGGCAGCCTCATAAAGATACTTCCTGACATGGCCTTGGGAGCACAGTGCAGGCTTCCCCTTGGCGTGTTCTTGGATGGCAGGTGTGAGTCTGGAGTGACTCTTGGGATGTGAACACTGACCTAGGGCTTGGGTTCCCCCACAGCAGGCCTGGCCCTGGGCCCAGTGCTGTGTGGACTCCCTCTTCAGTGGGGAGCTGGGCTGCTTCATGGGGAATTAACTGTAAGGTGCGATTCCAGCTGCTTGTAATTCTCAGCTGTCTAAGGAGTTTTTTTTTTTTTATTCTCCAAACTCCAGTTTTCACAGTGGATAAGATGGTCTTTGAGCTATATATTTTGTGTCAAGATGATAGTTTTTGTTAATAACTTATTTTGGACACTTAGGGTTGTTTTTCTGTTTTGCATACCTTTGAAATTAAAAATAGTGGTAATGATAATTTATATTGGTTTGAGTAGTGAATGTGATTCAGCGAAGTGGAGACCTTGTGGCCTTTCTGTTTCTGCATTGTTAAGACTCTAGTAGACAGAGCAGCAGCTCTCTGCACTCCTGACACAGCCCTCCCAAGATAGCCAGGCTGGGTCCCTGGGCTGCTTCCTCCTCCCAGCATGCCATGGCTGGATCCCTGTCATGCTCTTCTACGCAAGCAGCTTCTGTTCAGCGTGATGGCAGCAGCACTGTGCTGCCATGTGAGGTCACGGCAGCCTTCCAGGGTGTGGAATGCTAATATCCTAGCTACCTTGAAAATATGGTCCTTTGTTCCTAAAGGTTAACTGATCTAAGGTAGCCATCCTTGTGGACTGTCACAACTTTGGAGGCCAAATTGGGTGGCCAGGTGGGGACGTTAGTAATGAACACTCCATGTGCAATTTTCCGGACCTACATAGTTTTAGAAATTCACTTTCAAATGCTTCTGAGGCATGGAGTATGCAGTTTCAAAATTCAGGACTTTGTATTTGGCCTAAACAGAGAGTGGGTGGACACAGGTAAGTCGCACAGATGTTCACGTGAAGCTGAGGGTGACCTCTCAATTCTGAGGTGTTGCAGAGGAGCTGTAGGTGTGTGTACCTGGCACAATGATGGATGGGCACTGTTTCATTTCCTGCCCCGTAGCTTTCCCAGTTGCACTTACTGGGCTGAAAGAGGAATTGCTAGGATATGGAAAGGGTTACTTAAAGGCTGGCCTGCTGGTGGAAGTCGGGGAGGCAGAGGCAGAGGCAGAAGGGGTTAGGATTGTTTTTTAAACACAGGCTCTGAGAAGTGCTGTCTGATAGAAGCCTGTGTGTGTCTTCTGTACCCCCACCTGCAGCTCTAAAGCCGTGATAAGGTCACAGTTTGGGATTTGGGGCTTGGTTACAATCTCTTCCAATTTCTGCTGATGAGGGTAGTATCTTTAATGTTTATCTGGCACCCTGTCTGTGGCCCCTCCTGCCGGGTTCAGGGCCCAGTGGAGAGCTGGGAGTCAGCCCCGGGGAGGGCTGTCCAGACTCAGAGTGACCCACGCATGCAGGGCGATGCTGTCCCAGGTCCACTCTGCCCCCTGACTGAATCCTGCCCCCTTTCTTTGACAGCCAGCAGAGCACTTCTTCAGGCAGGAGGGCAGATTGCAAGGTGTTCTTCAAGACTAGAACTAAAGTGCAGCAGCTGAAGAAGAGTTCACTGGAGCTGGGTAGGCAGGCTCCCCTCTGATGTGCTCCTTATCTCTTAAGCATGTTGAGACACGGTGCCGCACAGCTTCTACAGCAGCCCCTAAAAGAAATGTGCAGAGCATTCTTACAGTTTTCTCACCACACTTTGAGCTTCTTTATTGAAAATTTTCAGCTTTAACAGTATCTTGAGCAAGAGTATCTTTTCTAGACTAAACCTGGGATAAAATACAGCTTTGGGGGCTCAAGCAGTAAAGCACCTGCCTAATAAGCATAAAGGCTTGTGTTCAAACCTCAGTACCACCAAAATAAATAAATAAAAATACAGCTTTTGGTAAAAAGAGGCTATTAATACTTTTTCAATGTGAGCTGAGCCAGTGGGGGTGACGATGGAAATCACATGGCACTGCTTGGGCCCCACGTAAGGGCAGCCAGGTGTATGCAAAGGCAGACTCGTTCAGAGGGCACTGAGTGTGGGCAGAGGGACACTGCTTGACCCACTCAGCTGCCTCCTTCAACCCTCCCCATAGCTCAAGAAGCTTAGCGCCAGCCCCTCTTTTTTCTTTTTGGTACTGGAATTGAACCCAGAGCCTCACACATGCCAGGGAAGCACTTTACCACTGAGCTTTTCCCCAGCCCTGCACTCTCTTAAGGGTGGAGAGACCTGGAACAGGGGTGCCTTTGGGAAGCCAGGCCTTCTTAAAGCAAATGCACCCAAGGGAGTGGGCAGACACCTGAAGACAGCTCAGAACCTTGGGCTCTAGATTTACCTTCACAGTAGTAAAGAACCCTAAGTTTGTCCTCCAGGCTAAGAATGAATGCATTAAGATAGAAAGCACTAGAAGTGGAGAGAAAATAAAGAAGGCTAGTGAGCCTCTCAGACACAAGTTAGGAGGGACAGAAGGTCAAGAAACTTCCCAGTTGGAATGGGTATATATGCCCCATCTCAGGTGGGAGTTTAGTTTTCATCTCTGGCTTTGGCTTCACACCCAAGGTCTGGCAGGCAGGTAGCCAAGCAGCCATTTCTATATTTCTGACCATGCTTCCATATCCTGTGGTACACCTTGAATTTTTAAGAAATTTTCAAGTGTTACATCTGTGGTGAGATACCACAGCAGTGTCTGCCCCTGTGTGCAAGGGCCTCATCACCTCTTGCCTGAAGAGAAATATTTTCTTTCTTGGTTGAGGAAGCTCAAAGTGTGAGGTAGAATGAGCCAGGGAGGGCTAGAGAAGGAATCCTTTGGAAATCCAAATGCCATGTTCTGTGTACCTGACTATCCTAGAAAGAGCCAGCTGTGGAGTTCTTTGACAGCTTTTCCAGGTATAATGTGTGGCTGCGGCATCTGTGCTCTGCATAGGAGGGGCTGAAGGGGTCTGTTCATGGCCTCTGAGGACTGGTTGCACCACCATGGTGGTGGTGGTGGTGTGTCCACAGCTGAGGTCTAATTCCTCAGTGTTGAGAACATCTGGGAGCTCATGTAGGTCTGCTGAGTGACCTGAAGACATAACATGACCTCTGGTCTGGTATGGGTTACAGAGGCTGACGTGGGTCTGTCCACTGTCCTGGGAACAGGTGGCCCGGAGCCACTGGCCAGGCCCTTTCCTCATCTACAGCTTGCCTTTCGCCTTTAGCTGACCGGACCGCCACGTGTTGGTTTAGATTAACAAAGTGCTCATCATGGTAGGAGCAGCATGGTGTTGGGAGAGGAAACAGCAGTCTGGCGAAAGCGAAGCCCATGTCTGGCCATGTCAAAGCACTTGCTCCCAAGTTCAAAGCTGAGAACTGCCTCAACAGCGGGAAACTGCCCCACTGAGGTTGAGTTTTATTCAATGCTGCATCTGTTACATGGCCTTCGTGTCATCATTAAATTGCTATCTCTTAAGTGTAAAAATTTTCCTGCATTTTAAATTTCTGTATACCTGAGCTTATTAAAGATTGTTAGGTGGCACTGTAAAATTGTATGGATAATTTGCCTTCAGTGGAAATCAAAAATTACATTCACATGTATTTCCTTTTTTAACATTTTCATCTAATTTCTTCACAACTTGAATCGGTTTTGTAAAAGCCCTCCTCACGTGGAATGTCAGAGAATTGAGTTCTTAACTGCTGCAGTAACTAATGAAGCTTGACTCAGTATTGTTACTTTATAATTTTAAGAAAATCATGTTTCTGTTTCACTGCTTTGTTTTTTAGCTGCTCCCTTGTCACTGTCACAGCTAAAGAGACTTACTACGTACTTGACATTCTGAAGTACTTGGAGGTTGTCCTCTGTATATTGACATTAAATAAACACGTGTGAACACATTGTAAATGTAGATAATTTTCAGTAATCATTTTCACACTGATCTTTTAAAAAATCTTAATGAGCCAAAAAAGAAAAGCTTTTAAATGCTGTGAAATTAAAGGCCTTGTTAATGTTTATGGAACAAATAGCCAGAGA